TAAAAACACAAATAATAAATATATTGAAAGGAAATTTGAAGTTAAACATACTAATGTAAGATAGCATACATGCAAGTGTTGTTTCATTTGATTTGTTTAGACTGGTGCTAAGCAAAGTGTAACACAGTTTCAGATAACAAACTGGGGTTCAACTGGAGAAGTGAAGAATCCTCAGACTATTTTAATGATAATGGAAGAAATGTACAGAACACAAAGGAAAAGAGGAAACACAAGCATTGTAGTACACTGCAGGTGAGAAAGAAATGTGATTTAAATATTAATTTCAATTTCCTTCTTTATAGTGATACAGTTGGTCGTTCAGCAATGTTTTGTGCAGCTGCTACAACAATTAATAAATGTAAAACTGAAGGAGTCATTGATGTATTTCAAGTACTCAAAAGTCAACGTATTCAAAAACCAGGCAGTGTACAGACTGTTGTAAGTATCAATTATTCATGCTATATTTATTTCTGATAAAAAAGAATGGCATAGATATAGTTTTAATATGCTGTTTGGTTTTTGTATAGCTTTGTACGGTGTTTTCTAGTTAAATAAATATTTTTTATTTTAGCAACAATATCAAAGAATATTTCAGATTGTACTAACATATTTGGATTCATTTGAGACTTATTCAAATTTCACTACTTAAGATTTTGTAATTTTTAATGTTTGTACATAGAGTGACCAGGTTAGAAAGAAACTCTTGTTTAAGTATTATTATATTTAATGTTTGTTTTTAATAATTTTCTTATGTCATATGCTTTTATTTCAATTATCATAACAGTATATATACTAATGCACTAAGTACAATAAAATCTAAGTAATTAGCACAGCATTTCAGCTAGAAGATGAAGAGTTTGACATTGAGTTATACCTATTATGTTACTATCTTGTGGTCTCTTATATTGTCTTTAGAAGGAAGATTGCCACCCTTTACCCTTCCTAACAATGGTAAGATTAAATAAACAAGTGTTTTTATCAAGTAATCTATATAAAAGGTGTTCGACTGTACCTAGCTTATAAGGAACAGATAATACCTGATTACTCTATGATATATGCTAGCCAGTTTTATAATGTTAATCGGAATAATGATATTAACAATACCGCTGATGCTTTGTGGTGTCAGAGTGCTAACAATGTTACTAATATTGGAGTGTGGTATTATCCTAATGGAACTGAAGTACTTTTATTTGATGGAGACTTTGATGACTCATCAGGAGTTCCTCAACCATTGTTCAGTAAGAGATTCAGTGGTCAGATTGCACTAGCTAGAAGTGGTGGACTATCAGGATATGAAGGTTTATACAAGTGTATCATTCCTGATGAGAATGGAGTGAATCAAACACTAGTGGTTGGAGCATATACTGATACTGGATACAATAACAATGGTATGTGATGAATATAGACTATAATTAATGCACTTCTTTTACAGATGGTCCTGATGCTGATCC